TGTCTCTCCCACCTTGCCCCTTTGCATGTCTCTCCCCCTCATTCCTTTTGCATGTCTTTTTTCCCCTCTCCAACCCCTCTGTGTCATTGTCCTTGCCCCAATCACCTATGTGTGTGTCATTGTCCCCTTTTTCTCTGTGTCATTGCCTCCTTCCCCAGGCCCTTTCGTGTGTCTTCCACCCATGTGCACATGCTCACCTCCCCTGTGTAGCATGGCCGTGCGGACCATGGTTAGAGGATTTTCTGTACCAAATCAGACCCAATAGGTAGATCTCCAGATAATTTAAAACTACAACTCCCTTTATACTTTGCATGCCTTTAGAATGACAAAGCATCATGGAAGCTGTAGTTTTAAAACTTCCTGGGATCTACCTTTTGGGCAGCCCTGGGTTAGAGGATACAGAAGATCCTGCATCCCCAGTCAGCATGGCCAAGCTACAAGAAGTGACTAGCAGGAGAGAGAGCCCAGAACACGGATATTGCACCCCTTAGGCCAGTGTGCTGTAGCTGGCTGTCTAGTTTACCTAGTGGTAGTGTTAGCCCTGCATACAGGTGATTTAACAGCTGCAAGGATGGTGAATAGTACATAGAACATAGAAACATAGAAACATAGAATGTGACGGCAGATAAGAACCATTCGGCCCAATTTTCTAAATACTTTCATTAGTCCCTAGCCTTATCTTATAGTTAGGATAGCCTTATGCCTATCCCACGCATGCTTAAACTCCTTTACTGTGTTAACCTCTACCACTTCAGCTGGAAGGCTATTCCATGCATCCACTACCCTCTCAGTAAAGTAATGCTTCCTGATATTATTGTTAAACCTTTGTCCCTCTAATTTAAGACTATGTCCTCTTGTTGTGGTAGTTTTTCTTCTTTTAAATATAGTCTCCTCCTTTACTGTGTTGATTCCCTTTATATATTTAAATGTTTCTATCATATCCCCCCTGTCTCGTCTTTCCTCCAAGCTATACATGTTAAGATCCTTTAACCTTTCCTGGTAAGTTTTATCCCGCAATCCATGAACCAGTTTAGTAGCCCTTCTCTGAACCCTCTCTAAGGTATCAATATCCTTCTGAAGATACGGTCTCCAGTACTGTGTACAATACTCCAAGTGAGGTTGTTATGGGCAAATGCAAATATTACAAGTTTTAGAATGAAATGTTGTATTTCTTAAACTGTGTACTTTGTCTTTAAGAGATATTGCAAACTGACAAGGTGTTAGAAATGGAACATATTGTTTTTCATAACTGTTTCTTTAAGCAATAACCTCAGTGCATAATATGTTTGCGCCATTTTGTCCCAGACGAATTACAATAACAATAATGCATAAACAAGCTTCAAGGCTATACTACGACACTTGCAGTACACAATATACTGTTGTAACCCCAAGTTAATGGAACTTCCCCAAATCCGGGAATCTCCCACGACTGTACACTTACGACTTAGTATAAACAACAGATAACCTATTCAGACTTTAAGATGCCATCTTGAACTAAGTCAGGAAAATTTCCATGACGTTTGCACCCTTTAGTTATGGCCTTGTATGTTTGCCAAATTAAGGGAGGTCCTAAAATGAATAAAGTAAATGAACTACGGCAACCCTAAAATGGAGACAGAGGTATAAATAGGTGTACTTTTAAATGTTAAGACACAGAGGAGAGACTTGGAGACAGACGCTGCTCCATCTTAAAATGACAGAGAGGCTGACATGATGACATGTTCAGAAGGGTATGTTAACCTATTAATGATATTTGCAAGCATGTAATTTAATCTTATAAACTCTGCTATAATGGATTTTATATTTATATTTTTATATAATAAATATCCAAAAAGACAAAACTATTGCTTCCAAGACAATCCTTATTTTATATTGTATTCTCAATTATTTATATATGTTAAATAGAGGATCTCTTACTAACTATATAAAATTATGGCTAAGATATCTGTATGGTCAGCCCTACTAAGTTCTATGCTTTAAGACATTATAGCCCACGATATACGGGGAGGTGAGCAGGCACACATGTGTAGAAGACACTCGAATGGGCCTGGGGAAGGAGACAATGACAAACACACATAGAAAGGGGACAGTGAAGGGGTATTTCTAGTCTGGGACAAGAGCTTTTAGTTTATAATCAAAATATTTTGGAATAAAATCTACTCTGAGCATAAAATGCTTCATAGATTATTCACATATAGAGCAGTCTACCGATATTCAACAAAAAAAAGGGCTTTGTTTTTTTTTATATTTGAATATTGACCAACAGAATTTGCAAACGTACCATATAATAATGACTGAAAAAGTTTGTCTGACGCTTTCTGAATTTAGTTAACTGGTGGGGAGAGGTCAGAAACTATTTTCTTTCTTTATCCAAGGAGATTAAATAACAGAAACTTAATTCTTCTGTTTGGCTTTGTTCAAAATTTGAAAGCTAGGATATTTTTTTAAAGTAAAACTGTAGGCACTTTAACAAGTTCATCTTATTGTCCTACGTCGTGTCCTACCCCAAAACTATATATTGAACATCTCCAAGCCCACTGGGTATGAGAGCCAGGTATCTTACTTCCCGGCTCTCATACCATAAGATATTGTGATGTCACGCGTACATGCGCAATGTTGCCACGGATGGTCATAGCCATGTCACGGCCACATGCGTCTATGCTTCTCCATGCTCCTCTTTGAGGAGCATTGGATTGGCCCATCATCCTGGAGGTAAGCCTCCAAGATGACATAACCTGATTAGGAGGTTGCAGCAGCGACGAGTGAGACACTGGAGAAAAGGTAATTTTTTCATTTATAATTTATTTTGTTTTGATTTTTATACAGTCGAGGAGACTAATTGACAAGAGGCATCAGAATTGCAGTGTCAGGAATACAGTTATGTATACAGTACAGTGTTCCTTTAATAACTTTTTGTCTCTGTAGGCAGATTGTTCTTCTTAAAGGACCACTATAGTCACCCAGACCACTTCAGCTCAAGGAAGTGGTCTGGGTGCCAGGTCCCTCTAGTTTTAACCCTGCAGCTAAAAACATAGCAGTTTCAGAGAAACTGCTATGTTTACACTGCAGGGTTAATCCAGCCTTTAGTGACTGTCTCACTGACAGCCACTAGAGGCCACTTCAGTGATTCTCACTGTGAAAATTGAGTAATGCTTTCCTATGGGCGTTTTTAATGCGTGCGCGGCTCTGGCTGCGCATGCGCATTTGGCTCCACTTGGGAGCCAACGTCGGAGGGGGAGGAAAGGTCACCAGCGCTGAGGGAGCCCAGCGCTGGATAAAGGTAAGTGGCTGAAGGGATTTTAACCCAGGGATTTCAGCCCAGCGGGAGGGGGACCATGAGGGTGGGGGGGACAAGTTTGTTTTCCTGGCATTATAGTGGTCCTTTAATGTGTGTATGTAATTTTATACCATAATGGTCCTTCGATGATAATGTTCACTGACCTGCAATGTTTAATCTTGCTCACAACTGCCTTTGCTGACAAATATAAGATACCATGATTAACATATTAATATCTCCTTGGGTAGTTTAAATGTTATGTTACATGTGTAGATTGAGTTATTGTAATAGCTAAGACACTGGACCTATTACCTGATACATAGGTATACTTCCATTAGACCATTTAGCATCGACTGACCTACTCGTGATCAGATTATCTTGGTGTAAAAATAAACTTTGATAATCTTTCAAGATTCTTTTCCCCTGTGGACATTATCATGAACAGATTATTTCTGCTATGATTCACAAGCTCCCTAATACAAATTCCCATTAAATAACTGTTGGTAACATTGCCAGGACACATGTAGGCTGTGAAACCATCTCCTTGGAGACATCTCTTCCAAGAATCCTTAGGAACCGTGAGAGCTTGCACTTATTATTTTTATTTATTTTGTAGAATTGTTTTTGGCTCACAATAGTGAAGAGTGACATTACATCAATGAACACAGGGAACTTCATCTGGCAACTGAGTGCATGTGTTAATTCCCTGCTCAACATTTCAATCAGCTGTTGTATCCTTAGCGAGATAATCACTGTCACATTACACTTTCTCTTTTATGTATGTAAAGCAAAACAAAATGTAATAATGTAATGTTATATTATTTATTTAAAGGAATACTTCAGATTTCCAGAACAACAATAGCTTAATGTAGTTGTTCTGGTGTCTATAGCATGTCCCTGCAATCTTATAAATGTAAACAATGCCTTTTCAAAGACATAAGGAAATGTTGATAGGTGCTTCATGGCATTCTGCTGCCCATGAGCAATAGGCTCCCAATGCCTTTCTATGGCAAAGCAGTGGATTGGCTGAGCCTCATATTTTATGATGTCAGTCACAGAGGCAGAGTGGAGTGGGACCAGTGCTGTACTTGAAAAAAGGTGAGTAGAATCACCTTCTTAATGTAAAGAGGATGCTGGGAACCTAAACTGTTTTCCAACTAAATTTTCCAACTATAGTGTCAGGAGTCATGTATGTGTTCCTGTCACTATAGTGTTCCTTTAGGTTTTGTCTCAAAACTGTTTTAGAACATTGTCGTCATACTTCATTCAATTGAGAGATTGAATGGGAAGTATTTCTTTCCTAAATGTAACTTAACAGACTGGTTGTGATTAGATTTTTTTTAATCTCTTTTAATAGATGAAGAATATATATATATATATATATATTTTTTTTTTTTTAACTATTTATTTTTGAAGTGCAGAGTAAGATACAAGCTGAAGCAATTACACATTAAATCACAATAACCATATACATGTATGAGAAGTCAAGAGCTGCTGCACATTTTTTTTTTTTCCTAAAAGAAGAAACAAGAGTAAAACAATACTAGATATAACAATATGATTCCCACAGAATGCCCCCACTGAGACATTATAAGGATTTAAGAAAAGAGTTCCATGACTATGGATATTAACTGAAGAATTAAGAGCTAGGGGCTAAAAAGCATCTATGTAGGCAGCCAGAGATATTGGGGGCTCTAAGGCTCACCTCAATCCACAATCCCATTCAATAAATACACCGAAAAGGTAGAGCACAGTCCTGCTTCGAAGATCCATATCGGAGGGCACTGCACCAGGATGCAGGTAAGTAGGTCGGGTCTTCTGTATTCTTTGTGGTCCCCCACAGCACCTCAGACTTGTGTTTCGGTCCTGCTTTGGGTCGGGTAGGGATAGTGCGCTGCTTGTTCTGCAGCCATAATGGGGCTTCTACGAATGACCGGCTCGGCTTCCTCTCCTTTTTTCTGGGAGCAAGGCCCAGCCGCCGACCAGGGTCAGCCAGCACCTTCTTGTGGTGATGCTTACGTCTACGACATGAGGCCCGGTCTGGGACAGGAACCAGGTACTCCGCTTCAGTATGGGAGCACCAGAGGCACTGTTCAAGTCGAGCAGTGTGCATGATTTGGCAAATATATAGATATAAATACCCTACTAGTGAGGAGCTCTTGTGAAGTGTGACAACCCACCATTAAGGTCAGGCCCTGCCCCCAGAAAATACTTTTTATCTGACTACATTCCAATAGAACTTTTAGATCTGCTAACCTATCTCTACTGATATACACTGTAGGAGTTCGAAGTCAGTTTATTGCCTGCTGTGTAAAAGCTATAAAAAAAAAACAAAGCTATAAAATTAAATTCATATGTTTTAGCAAAAGAGAAGAGTGTGGTTCTATGTTTACAAGTTTGGGCAGTTCTGATTATGACTGCAAGGTGGCACTAGATGTGCAGACAGCATTGCTGAATTTTGTAATGGCAATTCTACATTGTCACAGAAGTTAGACCTAACCAAAAGACTCCTTGCACTATAACCACTAGAAAAAGATGTATTAATCCTGGAATATTTCTTAACAGCGAAAAGAGGAGGTTTTTTTTTGTTAGGATCATACTTTTTGTTATTTGATTTATGCATGTAGGTTTTCCATGTCTCATTAATTTTCTAGAATGTCTGTGCAATTTGCATGTTAGCAAAAGCTCTTTCACTATTGTACCCAATGGACATATTTTACAAGCTCAAAAATGCCAGTAAAAAAAAAAAAAACAGCATAATTTTTAACAAAAATTAAGTGACCTGCTTTTAACCTTGTAATAAATCATACACTAAAGTGGGTAAAGTTAAAATGTTTGCAATAAAATGTGCATGTCTCTCAGCTGTATTAAGTAAACAATTCCTAGAAACTAAAGGGCTCCCCAAGACGTCATTGAGGGGGATGCTGCGCATGTATATGTCACACGTGGAGCAGAAAAGCATTTGCGTCAATGATTAGTGATACTTGGCACATAGGCTATTAAGCATAGTATAGGAAATTATTCGCTTAACTAATTCTATTGTAATGGAATCGATAATTCGGGTTCCAATTTCTCACATGTCGCTGTTGAGAAAGCGATTCCCCAAATCTTAGCGTTAACCTGGGATCTCCTATAGAAAGTGGCCCCAAGTGTGGATTGTGTAATAAACGTTAGCTTGACTGTTTCTGTTTGTTCGTATATCCCTCTGGTCAGGTGTACGTTATGTCTGCGTCTAGTCGCCCCAGTCTGTCATGGGACAGATGTTTAGTTCCTATCCTCCCTTCAGTTAATTGTGTCTTGCTTTGAGAACTAGTTCTCTATGTGTCTGGACCCATTCTACCTCCATCAGTCAGCTGTAATTTAAGTCGATGACTCGTATCTATGGCAGTTGCTTCGTGTCATGGCTATATATCGTGTAGCGGCTCGCTCGGGTCCTCCCGGCTCCGGCCTCCTCGAGCGCAGGTCAAGCCGCATCTGTGTAGAACCTCAGAGAAGTTACATGGAGTCGATTAGATGCAGTGGGGAAAAGGAAAGGAGGGGGGGGAGGAATGTGAAGGGCAGCATGTGTCGGGCTGCGCCGGGCACCCTCAAACCCCAGGTGCAATGGTGTGTGCTATGTCTCCCTAGTTCCGGGACGTGAAAGGTAGACATACCATGGGGTCCAGATGTCGACGTGTTTGGTGCTTCTCCCTATTAGTTCTGCGTACTGCGCCTCAGCTGTGTGTATTTCCTCAACTCTCTGTAGCCACTCCGTAACTGTCGGCGGGTGGGTCTGTTTCCATTTGACTGGTATAGATGCTTTCGCTGCGTTAAGCAGGTGCCTTAATATCGATCGCTTGTATTGGGCTATCGAGCCTTCCGTGTAATGCAGTAGGGCCATTTCTATGCTAAAGTCCTGCAAATCTCCCAGGATTATCGTCATTTCCCTCTGTATGTCCTCCCAATATGGCTTAATCAGCGCGCAGTCCCACCAGATGTGCCATAGGGTGCCTGTTTGGGATTCACACCTCCAGCATGTATCCGTGGTTCCCCTGAAAATTCTGTGTAGTAAAGATGGGGTCCTGTACCATTGAGAGATTAGTTTAAAGTTGACCTCCTGGTACCTGGTGCTTATGGAGCTCTTGTGTTGCAATATTAATATCTGTTCCCATTGTGCCTCAGTGTACGTCCTAGCTGTCAGCTCTTCCCACTGCCTCTTAAACGCATTTTTCCACGTGTGGTCTCCCGTTATCAATTGTTGGTAGATGAGCGATACCCTACCGTCTACGCCGGTGTTGGCCGTGCAGAGGCTTTCGAACCACGTCTGCTCTCTGTGTATTGCTACCCTGTTGGGGAGGTTGAAGTAGAAATGCCGCAGTTGTGCGTATTGAAATCTGTGCATCAGCGTCTGTTGGTTCGTCGTACTCCACTCTCGCAGGTTTCTCAGTCCGGTATTGCTCAGGACTTCGGACATCGGGATATAATCTACGTCTCCCTCTATCGGCCAAGCAGATCGGTGCAGCCCCCCACCTATCGCAGTATTGTGTGTTATCGGGATCAATGGGCTCGGTTGTGGGGAGATATGTTGGTTCCGTCTCAAGGATGACCATGTCTTCAGCGTTTGTACAATGGGTGATTCATTGCCTAGTTTTGATGCCGCGTCTGCTGAGCCTTGCCATGTATACATGCGGAGGGCTTTGTTTATGCTCTCTCTATCTAGTGCAGCCCACAGTTTGTTTTCGGACGCTGCGTGCCAATCCCTGATCCGCTGTAAGACCGCGGCCTGGAAGTATTTGCGTATATCGGGTAACGCTAGTCCGCCCCAGTTCTTAGGTAAGCATAGCTTGTCGTAGCTGAGTCGTGCTCTCCTTTCCAGATGTATTTTATTACTGCTGATTTAAGAGTTGCAAAAAATTCTGGTGGTATGTGCCAGGGAATGGTGTTAAAGTAGTAAAGCAGCCGTGGTAGGATATTCATTTTAATCACCGCTATGCGTCCCTGCCATGATATGTGGTCATAGTTCCAGTTTTTTAGGTCGAGCAATATTGTGCGTAGGAGGGGGATGTAGTTCCTGGTATATAGCTCTTTCGGGTTGCTTGGTATCCAAATTCCCAGGTATCGCATCTGGTCTGAGCACCAGCGGAAGGGATAGTCGCGTGTGATCCGCTCTCGCACTGCTGGTGGAGTCTGTATGTTCAGCAGTTCGCATTTAGTTTGATTAAGCTTCAGACCCGATACCTGGCCATAGGTGTCAAATTCCTGCATCAGGACCGGCATGGAGTCGACAGGGCTGTCCACAAAAAAGAGCATATCATCTGCATATGCGGCTACCTTATGTTCCTGATCCCCGTGTCTAAACCCTCGAATCTCTGGGGTTTGCCTTATCCTGCCCAGAAACGGTTCTAATGAAAGGGCAAACAGGAGCGGCGACAATGGGCAGCCCTGTCGGGTTCCGTTGTGAATGGTAAAGGTGTCTGTGAGTGCGCCATTCACCCTCACTCTGGCACTAGGGTCAGCATAGAGCGCCGCTATCCAGGCTATCATTCCTCTCCCCAGGCCAACCTTAGGAAGTGTTGCCATCATGAAGCTCCAAGTCACCCGATCAAATGCCTTTTCGGCGTCCGTGGAGAGCATCAGTAGTTCCGTTCTCTCTTTAAGCGCCAATGCCTGTATAGAAAACGCTCGGAGTGTGCAGTCTCTGGCTTCCCTGCCTGGTACGAAACCTGTTTGGTCAGGGTGGATTAGGCGCGGCACGTATGTTTGTAACCTTGTGGCGATGACTTTGGTGAAGAGTTTCACATCTGCGTTAAGGAGCGAGATCGGCCGGTAACTACTGCAGCTTTCGGGGTTCTTGCCAGGTTTAGGTATCACCGTGATTGTGGCTGCTAAAGTTTCCTGGTGGAATTTATTGCCCTGTTGGAGTTGGTTGAGGGCTGCTGTTAAGTGTGGAGTCAGAATGTCTCTAAACAACTTGTAGTACCCCGCCGAGAGTCCATCTGGTCCCGGCACTTTCCCTTTCTTCGCTGCCTTAATCACCGCTTGTACCTCTTCCGTGGTTATTGGGACTTCCAGTAGGTCTGCTTCCTCCGGTGTTAGGGCGTCCGGCTGAAATCTTTGTAAGTAGCGCGTTGTTGCTTCTTGCAGTTCGGCGCATTGAGCCTCGGAAGTCATTGGCGAGGTATTATACAGTCATTGGTAGTACTTACGGAATTCATTGGCTATTGCCTCTGGGAATTGTGTGAGGGAGCAATCGGTTGTTCGTAGTGCATGTACTTGCGCTCTGGCTTGTTGGGGTCGGATCATACGAGCTAGGAGTCTCCCACTTTTGTTAGCGTGGATGTAGAAGAAGGCCTTGGATCGCTGTGTCGCTCTGTGGTGTTTGCGGGCCACTAGATCCGCCAGCTGTCGGCGGGTGTCCAGTAGTGAGCGATAGTGCTCCTCAAGTTGTGAACGCTTGTGTTGTGTTTCCAGTATTGATATCTGGTCGGTGAGTTCCAGCATGTGTTGCTGTGCTTCCCTCTTTTTGCGTGATGCAATCCTTATGAGATGTCCCCAGAGCACGCTCTTGTGTGCTTCCCAAAGCGTCACTTTCGACACGTCTTCTGTATCGTTCTCAGTAAAGTAGTTGGTTAGATGTTCTGTAAGAAGGGATTTCACTTCCGGGTCTGATAAGAGCGACTCATTCAGTCTCCATGCAGTTTTAGTGGGCCTGAATAGAGGAGAGTCCAGGTTTATGGACACTGCGCTGTGGTCCGACCATGGTGTCGGTACAATGTCAGCCGACTGCAAACGTTGTAGTCCTTCTTGCTGTATGAGAACGTAGTCAATACGTGAATATCTCCTATGTATGGCTGAATAGTGTGTATAGTCTCGGACTGTCGGGTGTAGGGTCCGCCAGGTGTCTACCAATCTCAGGTCTCGCAGGGCCTTCCTTATTGCTCTAATCGCAGTTTGTGGTATACTGCTGTGTCCAGTCGATGAGTCGACTAGTGGGTCAAGCGGTGCATTGAAGTCCCCCCCTACGACGAGTGATCCTTCCGTAAACGTTGCCAGTTGGCGGATCGTTTTGCTCAGAAACGTTGCCTGCTTTGCATTTGGCGCCTAGATAAAGGCGAAGGTGTAAATTTTTCCCGA